CCACAGGTGAGGGTGGAAGTGGAGACAGAGCCAGGGGAGGGTGGGAGCATAGACAAGGATTTTGACTTTTATAATTATGTATTGATTTACTCTTGAGTGACAGAAGCCAATGTTTCACTCTCCCCATTGCATGTAGTTTTCTCTTAATCTGTGACACACGGACAGCACAGTGACAGCGGTTAGCTCTTGTGCTTCACAGCAAGAAGGTCCTGGGTTTAATTCCACCTACAGACCGTTCTGTGTGTTCTCCCTGTGTCAGTTAAGGTTTCCTCTGGGTGCTCCAGTTTCCCTTACCACTTAAAAGATGTAAAAGAGGTCTGGCATGTGCCTCGTGTATGGCGACCAGGCTCCCATCTCTGTGTGGAGCGAGTATAAATAAATATTCCGTTTTCAAAATACACAATTGATTATGATGAACGTGATTGCAAGACACTTGACACCACTTTGCCTGAAGCCCCCGCTGAAAGATCAAGGCCCCTGTGGACTCACCACCTGCAGGAAGTGAGGGGCTGGTGTTCTGTGAAATGGGTGAAGCTTTGACTGCAACCCCCCCGACCCAGAAATGGATGAACTTAGTTTGTGGCATTCCAGTGACTTGATCAATATCTCTACATTTGGAAGATTACTTGATCCTTCTGAAGTGTCTTTGATTATTTCTGGGATATTGTTTTTTCCCGCCGTACAGTACTGCTTTGACTCTCAGAGCAGACTCAAGCACTAGGTAGATATTAAAAAATGTAAATGTTATTGCAGGAATCCCACACACTGCTCTAAGGCAGCTTCAGCCCTGCAGACACAGTTCTCGTACAACATCTCTCTGATTCCAAATGACTTATTCATAACTTGCATGTTGGCAACAATTCATTTGCCTAATTGTTTTCTTGTTAATGTAGTCGGGAGCTGTATTTTATCACAGTGAATGTTTGTGTTGGATATGCGCCCGGAGCAATGTGCAACTTTTGATATTGGTGAAATGCATTTGTTTTGCTCTCTTGCTAATGGTTTGATTCTGCCATGACCTCACTATTTATGTTACAAAGTTTATTTCTAAAAAACTGAAACATAGAAATAGATTAAAGTTGTTAAATAAAACAAACAATAGAAAAATGTAGGCCATAATGAAAGCATCTCCCATGCTCTCCTTGGGGTGCTTAACTTTTAGACCACAGCAATTTAATTACATAATAAAACACATCTACCTTTACCTGTTTATTGCCACATACTATTTACATTTAAAAAACTATGTAATATTACATTTATAAATGTTATATGTACATGAATTGGACGGAGTTGAATGCAAGCAAAAATCTTGGTATTTCTTTCAGCTTGCTTAACTTAAATCCTTACCCTAAACTAAATGCCTTCTCCTTTAATCTTCACAAATATCACCAAAAATTGAATATTTCCCAAGATTTTAGTACCACACCATACCCATATCCCCACATCACCATTATGTCAGGGAAATCTTCTTATCCTTCACTTCCAATTCTTATCATTCGACTTATTCAGCCTCGCTGTGTAGTAATAGTAATAGATATGTGAAGGATAGGTTACGCAGGTCTTTCCTTCCTGCTGCTGTCAGACTGTACAACAAACAATGAGGACTAATGAACACTGCCAACTTGATCCCACGTGTCATGCATCGGTGCAATATCCTTAACTAATATCATAATGTGCAATAACCACATGTCACTGTCACTTTACTGAGTCACTGTGTCTCAGAGCCTCATGCTGCTAATGTACAGATGTAAACATCTGTAAATGTTTACATCTGTAAACATGGGCGGCACGGTGGCTGAGTGGATAGCACTCTCGCCTCTCAGCAAGAAGGTCCTGGGTTCGAATCCCGGTCGGACCAGGGCCTTTCTGAGTGGAGTTTGCATGTTCTCCCTGTGTCTGCGTAGGTTTCCTCCGGGTACTCCGGTTTCCCCACCACTAAAAATGTGTCCAATAGTTCTAGCATGCGCCTCCTGTACTGGCCCCGCTCCCATCTCTGTGTGGAGTGAGAGACAAATGCCCAAAATTAACAATTGTAAACCGCTTTGAGACTCGGATCTGCAGTGAAAGGCGGTATATAAATAAAGATTACTTACCTACTTACTTACTTACTAAACATACTGCTGCTAACGTAATGTATGCTAATGTACAGATTCTAACATATAACTACACTTTGCTTGCACTAGAATACACAGTACTTTATATTTGCCTCTTATTGCCACAAATATAAAACTTTTACACTTCTTTTTAATATTATTTTCAAGATGAAGATTTTATACTTGTTATTGATGCTAGAGTTAGAGATTTTGTTATATTTTAATTAGTATAGCAATTGTTTACTTATCTTGTGTTGTGTGCTCCTCATTCCTACTGTTCTATAACTTCCCCCTCCTGTGGGACAAATAAAGGATCTCTTAATCTTAATGAAGCATATCTTTTGCTGAAGTAAGTATGTACGTAAGAAACACTGCATGAAAAGTGTGATTTTCGTCTCTTTTCGGCCCTGTATATTACTGTGAAACTTCTGGGATTCGGCTGTTGACGGTAGTTTGTTGTCCCCTCCTCCCTCCTCCACAGGAGGCTTTAACATGTAAATGGAAGTTTAAATGACTAAAATAAATACATTTAAATAATCTGTTTAATCTTTTAACCAAATAAAGCTTTTGTAACTTTGGGAAGGGGAGTAATTAATTAATAGTGTATTTACGCGTGCAACAACAATAATTTTCCATGCAAAATATAAATCTGTATATTATTTTCAGACTGGACTCCTTGATTTGTAGAAGACGTTTTATTTTCCGATAATCAACTATCTTGAGAGTTTAGACGCTCACAACGCTGTGTACGTCAGTCCCTGGATCAGTGCCGTGTGCAACTTTCACACAACACTGGACAGAGAGCGTGAGTGTGCGTTGGTGAAGAAGCGAAGCATTCGTTTGAGAAGCCGATAACACGGGTAAGATAATTTATCTTGATACAGAACAGAAGAAGGACATTTAGTTTTTCTGAAATGTGTCCGTTGTCCGGCAGCTAGTTTCAGTATCGTGCTGCCTAGCCGTGGCTAGCTAGAAGAGCTAACGCTAGTTAGCATCGAGCATTTCACCATTGTGTGATGCTGGTGACATGAAACTGGACTGCATTTACGGTGTTGCATTTCACACGTAGACAAAATCTTGCCATTCTGGCATAAACATCTCATAAAACAATTAAGCTGATATCCGGTTATTTTCAGAACCATACGTTTGGCACGTGTTTAGCCGAACGTGCTAACCAGAAGAGCGCAACTTGAGCACGTGCTGAGGAGAGGCTCTGTGGCTGTTTGGAATACAGGTAAGATATTCATTTGATTAGTTTAAGATCTGCACTAAACAGGCATTGTTTGAAGGGAATGTGTTTGCCAAGATGATTACTTGTCGGTTTTGTATTGATCAGAAAGGGAAAAGGCTCCTGCGCTACATGAACACCGTGTGCAAATACAAATGTAAAAGGTTCCTTGAGGATCTGACAAAGTATAAAGTCTTGAGAGGACACAAAAGACAGGGTGCTTCTGCTGTCCTACTTGGAGGAGAGAGAGTCATGCCTGCAGGAGAAGTGCCAATGGAGCCCATGACTCCTACCATCATTGTGTGTGTGGTGAGAACTTTCTTTTATTCTTTTGCTTTAATTTGTCCATTCTTTGAACCCATTTCTATATTGATGCTAAGGAGTTAATGCTCTGCCTGGTGAAATTTCATTTTACTTGTATTTAACTCGTTTTGTTTCTCCTTGAAGGACAATCCTGTTAATCTGCGAACCGGTTTATGCTGAGTGTGGATCGTATGATTGTCCAGGACAATGTTGGCTCCTTTGTGTCGGCCATTTCCACGATGTTTGGGAGTTATTATTGCTTAAACATCCATTATCCAATACAACTGGCCTCAACTCTGGAGTTTCTGCAGAGGTATATGCCTTTTTGTATATTAACCTCTTAACCCCCACCTGATCAAACTACATTTTCTCCAGTTTGGTTTTACCCAAATCTAAAATTGGATAAAAGCACAACAAAGAAATCCACAAAAGCTCAACATAATAGAAACATGTATCTTTTTTCAGTTTTTGTTGCTGTTCTTTTTTCCCCAGAAGGTATTACATTTGGGTAAAATCAAACTGGAGAAAATGCAGCACAAGTGTTGATCCACAAGATCAACACTTGATTCAGACACATGGGCTGTAGTTAGAGGACCTCCATAAGTATTCAGTGAATCCTACATGTGTTCATTTTGTAATGTGGGAGGAAACATGTAAGCAGCTAGGACTTTAAGGAATAGGCCACCGTTTTTACACACTGACATATGCTCTGTCATGCAAACTGAGCACAAACACAGCCTCTTCCACAGACTGTATAGTTCCAAATCAGCTCCCGTTAGAAGCTCCCAAACTCCTCCATGTGTTCCCTATTTAAATACAGTTACGTGACGTGTTACACTACCAAGTATAGTAATAATACGAGGAGCACTACGTCCATGCACTAACTCCCAAGACTTCTCTCCCGCTCACTTCCGTCAATAGCAGCGTGAGCGGGAGAGAAGTCTTGGGAGTTAGTGCGTGGATGTAGCGCTCATTGTGCTCCTCGTATTATTACGCCTCACAAAATAGTGCCCCTTTTTATCCACTGAGAAAATCGACATGTTACATTTCTGTGTTACTGTACTTGGTAGTGTAACACGTAAGTAAGTAAGTAAGTTATGTAACTTTATTTAAATAGGGAACACGTGGAAGAGTTTGGTAGCTTCTAACGGGAGCTGATTTGTTACTATACACTCTGTGGAAGAGGCTGCGTTTGTGCTCCGTTTGCATGACAGAGCACATGGACACAGACCAGACCAGGTACATATCAGTCTAAGGTAAGAACATATGTCAGTATGTAAACACGGTGGCCTATTCCTTTAACCCATGACCTGTGTTTGACTGCTTAGCTCTGCACCACTGTGATGCAGAGCTAAGCAGTTTGTATTGCAGCACATATGGTTGGTGGTGGTAAGGGGGGGAGTTGTGCTGGTGTGGTATGGTGTGATGGGAGCGACTGGGGTAAGGTAGGTGGTGGGTTGGGTGTGTTGGTGTGTGATGTGGTGTGGGGTGGGTGGTGGAGGGGTTTGTGTTTAGTGTTGTTGAGTTGGTGGTGGTGCAGGGTGGGGTGTGTGGTAATGGGGGGAGATGTGTTGGGTTTGTGTGGTGGTAGGTGGGTGTCGGTGTAGGAGTTAGGGTGGGGTGTGTGTTGTGTTATTGGTGTGTGGGTGTGGGTGGCGGAGCGAGTGCTGGTGTTCATCGCAGGCGGGAGGGGTGTGATGTGTTGTGGTGGTGGTAGGGTAGTTTTGGGTGTTAGAGGTGTGGTGGGGGTGTGTTATGTCGCGGGGGTATGGGTGGGTGGGGCTTGTGGTGGAGTGTCTGGAGGGGTTGTGTTAAATGTAGTGCCGGGGTGGTTGGTTCGTGGTGGAGGGTGATTCGTTGGTGGTTGTGGGTGGGGGGATTGGTGTGGATGGGAGTAATGAGTGTGGGGGGAACGGGGTAGTTAAGTTTGGTTCAGTGGTGTGGGTCTGGTTAGGTTGTTTTGGGTTTGAGATTTTGTTTTGTGTCGTGTGGCTGTAGGGGGGGGAGGTGGGCGCGTTTGATTGGGTGCTTGATGGTGTGGGCGTGATGGGGGTAGATGGGGTGGAGGTGATGGGTAGGTTTAGTGTGGGTTATGGATGGTTCGTTGTAGTGTCGTGTGGTGAGGGGTGGGTTGGTTGGTGTGGGTGTATTGGTGGTGTATTGAGGGGGGGTGGTGGGGGGTGCGGGGTTGGTTTGTTGTTGAGGGTGGGTGCTGGGTGGGAGTGGGGTTGTGGGGGGTGGGGGGTGACTCTTTGGGTCTAGTGGGAGGTGTGTAGTGGCGTTGGGTGTGTGGGGGGTGTGGGTTTTTTGTGTATGTGGGGGGACATTTGGTGGTTCGGTTGCGAGGTTGTGGATTGGTTAGTTGGTGTGCGGATGTTAGTGGGATGGGTTTGTTGGGGGTTGGGGTGTGTGTGTGTGGGTGAGCTTGGGGGGGTTTTGAAGGCTGGGGGGTGGAGGTGGGGTATTGGGAGGGGTGGAGTGTGTAGTTGTGTGGGGTCGTGTTTGGAGGGTTGTGGGGGTTGGGGTGTGTGGCTGTGGGTGAGTTTGGAGGTGTTTGGTGTGATTAGTGTAGGTCTTGGTTGGTTTGTGTGGTTGAGAGTGGATGATGTGGTGGTGTAGGGGTGTGGTGGGTGTGTGTGTGTTTTTTGGTTGGGTAAGTGGTGGTGGGGTAGGATTGTGTGGGGTGGGGGTTGGTGGGGGTGTTGTGTTGGGTGTGGTGTGTGTGGGTAGTAGGGTTGGTTGAGGGGGGGTTGGTGTTAGATGATGGGGTGTTGTTTTTGTGATGTGGGGTTCGGGTTTGGGGTTGGTTGTTTGTTGTAGTTGGGGGTGGGTGGTGGGTCGTTGGGGTGGGGGTGGTGGTTGGGTTTGTGGTGTTGGTTGGGGTGTGGGGAGATTATTTGGGGTGTAGTATGGTGTAGGGGGAGTGGGGGGGAGGGTTTTTGTGTTGTGGATTTGTGGTGTGGTTGGGGAGCGTGTTGGGTGGTTGGATGTGTTGTTGTGGGTGTTGGTGGGGTGGTTTGTGTTGGATGGTTTTAGGGTTTGGTGTGTGAGTGTTGTGTTGAGGGGGTGGGGGGTTGTCGTTGGGTGGTGGTGGGTGTTGGTTATTTGTGTGAGTGCGTGGTGGGTGGTGTGGAGGAGGTTGGGTGTCGGGGTGGTGGTCGCGGATTGGGGGTAGTGGTGGGTGGATAGTTGTGGTGAGTGTGGGGTGGTAGAGTGGCTCTGAGGATGGATGTAGGTTCGGTGTAGGACTGAATCTGGTTGTGGGTTTGGAGGGGGAGTTGAGTTGTAGTGGTTTTGGGTAGGGTGGGCGCTGGGGTGATGATGTGAGTGGTGATGTGGGGTGTGGTGGTTTTGTGTGTCGGGGGGGGGAAGTTGGTTGGTGTGTATGGCTGTGTAGTGTAGTGTGGTGGTCGGTGTGTGTGTGGGAGGGGGGTATGCGTTGTTTGTTGGCTCCTTGGAGTTGGTGGGGGGTCGGGAGGGTGGTGGGTGCTGGGGGTGGTGGTGTGTGGGAGGGTTGTGTGTTGTGGTGTGCTTTGTGGTGGTGGGTAGGTGGTGTGGGGTGGTGGTGGCTGGGTTTGGTGTTCTGGTTTGGTTGTTAGTTGTGCGGTGGTGGTTTGGTGTTTGGACGGGTGAGTTTTGGTGTAGGGGTGTGGGGGTCGTTAGGTTGGGTGGTGGTGTGTGGGGGTGGTGGGAGCGGGGGTGGCGGGATGTTTGTGGGTTATTTGGGTGGTGTTTGCGTTTGTGGTGTTGGGTGCTTGTGTTGTTGATTGGTGGGTGTGGTGGTGGGTGGTGTGGTGTGTTGAAGTGGGTTGTAGGAGTCGTTGTGTGGTTTGGTGTTGTTGTTAGGTTTGTGTGTGGTGAGGGTGGTGTTGGTTGTGTTGGGGGGTGTAGTGGTGGTTGTTGGTGTGTGTGGTGTAGATGTTGGGGTGGGTGGGTTGTGTCTTGTTGGCGTGGAGGGTTGGGGTTTGGGGTGGTTTTTTGGTTTTCGTTGTGTTAGGGGTGGGTATGCGTGTGTAGGATAAAGGGCGTGGTGTGGTTGTCTGTGGGGAGTGTGGGTTGTGGTTTATGGGTGGTGGTGGTTGTGTTTGTGTGTGTGTGGTGGTGTGGAGGTGTTGGGTTTGTGGGTAGGTATGTTGTGGTGGTGGTTGGTTGGGTGTTGGCGTAGGGTTTGGGTGGAGTGATTTTTCGGGGGAGGAGGTTGTTTGGTTTGTGTGGCGGTGGTGGTGTGTATTTGTGTTTGGGGTGTGTCGTTGTGTTGGGAGGTGGAGGGGTGGGGTTTGGGGTGTGGTGGTTTTTGTGTGTGTGTTTGGGTGTTGTAGTGGTGTGTGTTTTGTTGGGTTGGGTTGTTTGTGGGTTTTTTGTGGTTAGGGGGGGATGGAGTGGCTGGTCGAGGTGGTTGGTGGGTCGTGGTGGTCTGTGAGTTGGTTGGGGGGTTGGGATGGGTTTTCGCCCGGGTTGGTAGTGTTTGTGAGTGTTGGGTGGGTGGGGGTGTAGTGGTGGGGAACTAGTTTGTGTTGTGGGTGGTGTGGGGGGTGGTCTGTGGTTGTTGTGGTAGGTGAGTGGTTTAGGTGGTGTGATAGGTGGTTGGGGCTGGGTTTTGTTGTCGTGTGTTGGGTCGTGGCGGATAAGATGGTGTACTTACAGGGGGTTATGTGGTGGATGTGGGTGTGGATATGGTGCGTGGTGGGGAGTTGGCTGGGGTGGGGTCGGTTAAATGGTGTGGTGGGGTTGTGTGTGAGGGGTGTTTTGTGTGGCGTACTTGGTGGTTGTGTTTGGGGTGCTGGTGTGGTGGGAGGTGTGGTGTTGTGGATGTGTGGGGTAGGTGCATGTGTGTCGTGGGTGGTGTTGTTGGGTTTGGTTGGTCGTGTGGAGTTGGGGTTTGTTAGGTGGTGAGTTGGGTGGGTTGGGGGTTTGGTTGTAGGTCGGAGGGGAGTGTGTGATGGTGTGTGGAGGGGGTTGTTGTGCGGTTTGTTGGGGGTGTGTGGGGGTTTGTAGTATGGCTTGGTGTAGGGTGGTGTGGAGTGGTTCGTTGGAGATGTGGGCTTGGTTTTGGTGTTAGGGTTTTGGTGGGTGCGTTGTGGGGGTTTGTGGTGTGTGTTGGCTGGTGAGGTGGGGGTGTGTGGGGGGGTATGGTTGTGGGTTTGGTTTAGGGGGGCGGTGTCTTTGGTGGTTTTCAGAGATGGTTGATGGCGGGTGTTGGGGGGGGGTGGTGGGGGTAGTGGGGTGTCTGCGGTTTTTTGATTGTAAGGGGGGGTGGTGGGGTGGGTTCGTTGGGTGGTTCTTTGGTGGTGTGTCGAGTGAAGGTTAGGGGAGTGTGTGGGGTGGTTGGGTGTTGTGCTGGTTGGGGGCGTTGGGGGGTGTCGGGTTAGTTGGTTGTGTGTGTTGGAGGTGTCGTGTTGCGGTAGGACGGGGGGGTGGTGTGTTGGAGGTAGTGGGGGGTTGATGTAGGTAATCGTTGTGGTGGGATGGGGGTATTGTGGAGTTAGGTGTGTCGGGCGGTTGTGGGTGGGGGATTTTTGTGGTGTTGTGTTGCTGATTGTTGGGGTGTTGGAGGTGCGGGGTTGTTGTTGGTGGTCGTATGGGTCGAGTGGGGTTAGGGTTGGGGGTTGCTGGTGTGGGGGGTGGTGGGGTTATGGCGTGTTATGGGTTGGGTGTAGGGTGTTGTGATAGGTTCCTGGTGTGGTTGGGTGTGGTGGGTTTCGGTGGAAGTTGAGTTGTAGGTTAGGGTGTTTGGTGGTGGTGTGTTGTGTCTGCGGTGGGTGCTGTGGAGAGAAGAGTGTGAGTTGAGTGTGCGGAGGGTGGGGTTGTTGGAGTGGGGGTGTGGGGGTAGTGTCGGGTAGCTGGGGGGTGTTTGCGTGTGTTGGTTGGGTGAAGGTGGAGGGTCCTGTGTTGTGTGTGGTAGGAGTATGGGGGTGTGGTTGAGATTGTTAGAGTGCATGCAGGTTTATGTTAGTGGTGTTGGGGGGTGGGTTGGTTTGGGTGTGGGTTGTGGGGGTGTGGTTGTGTGTTATAGGGTGGTGGGGTGGTTCTTGGTCGGTAGTGTGTGGTATCGTGTTGGGGGGTTGTAGTGGTAAGTTTTTGTCCAACGTTTTGAAGCTTGTGGGGTTGGGTTGTGGTTGAGTGTGAGGGTGGGTGTGGAGGTTTTGGGTGGGGGTGGTTGGTGGGGTGGTGGTGGGTTGTGGGCGGTTGGGGGTTTGGGGGGATGTTGGGGTTTGTGTGTTTTGTGGGTGTCTGTGTTGGGGGTGTGGTGGGGTGTCGGTGTGTGGGTTGGGGTTGGTGTGGGGGGGTATGGGTTGTTGGTATGGGTTGTGGGGGGTGGGGGGGTGGGAGGTTGGATGGGTGGGCGTGTGGGTTCTGTGGCGTGTCGTGTGGGGTGTCTGTGTTGTGGATTGGTGGGTGTGGTTGGGTGGGGTTGGTGGGGTTTGTGGTGGTTGATGGGGAGTGTGTTAGGTGTTGTTGTGGAGTGGTGTGTTGTGTTTTATGGTGGTTTTGTGCGGAGGTGGTTGGTGATAGTTGTGGGTGGGTAGTTGTGTTGTTGTGTGTGTTTGGGTGTGTGGTATGTTGTGGGTGTGGGTGGGGATGGGTGGGGTTGAGTGTTGTGGGGTGTGTGGGTTATCGGTTAGTTGTTGGGTGGAGGTGGGTGTTGTGAAGTGGTTGGTGTTTTGTGGTGTGTTTGGTGTGGTTTGGTTTGGTGAGCGGCCTGTTGTGTGTTGGGGGGGTGGTGTGGGTGGGTGGTGTGGGGTTGATAGTGGGTGGGGTTGGCGGTGTGGTGGGTGGTGGTTGTGTGTGGGGAGTGGTTGGTGTGGTGGTTTTGGTTGTGGGGCGGGTGTGTGTGTGTGGTGTTTTGGTGGGTGGCGTTGTTAGACGTTTTGGTGTCGTGTGGGTTGGGGGTGTGGGGGGTGTGGGGTGGGCGGGTTGGGTGGTTGGTGTGTGTATTGGGGGGGTGTGGTGATTGGGTGGTGGTGGTGGGTGTTGTATTTGTTAGAGTTGGGGTTGTTGTTGTTGGGTTGTGGGGTTGGGTGGGGAGATTGTGGGGTTAGTTGGTGTGGGGGTGGTGTGTGTTGGTTGGTCGGAATGTGATGGTGATGGGTTGGGGTTGTAGGTTGGGGTCGTGTGGGTGTGGTGTGTTGGTTGTGGGGTGGGTGTTGATTGTGGGTGTCTTGTGGGGTTTGGGTATAGTGGTTGGGGTGGCTTTTGTTGTTTGTGTGTGGTGTGGGGGGTTTTGGCAGTGGTTAGGTTGGGGGGTGGGTTGGGTTGTGGTGTGCGTTGGGGGGGTGGGGTAGGGGTGGGGGGTAGGGGTGTGTTTTGTGGTGTGGGTGGGTGTATGGGTGGGTGAGGTGGATGTTGGTTATTGTTGTGGTTGTGTGTGTGTGCTAGGGGTGGGGTGGATGTGGTGTGGTGTTTTGGTGTGGTGGGTTGGGTGGGAGGTGTGGTGTTCGAGTGTTTGTGGTGGTGAATTGTTTGTGGTTGTGGGTGTGTTGTTGGGAGTGGGTGTGGGATGGGTGTGTGGTGGGTGTTTTTATGTGGTGTGGTGGTGGGCTGAGGTGTGGTAGGGGCTGTTGTGGATGGGGGTGTGGGTGTAGATTTAGTGGGTGTTCTGTATGGAGTGCTGTGGTGTGAGTGTGGGTCGGTGGTGGGTGATGTTGAGAGGTGTTGGGGTGTTTTGTGTTGTGTCGTGAGCAGCGTGGTGGTGGTGTTTGTATGTGTGGTTGTGTTGTGGGTGTTGTGGTGGTGGTGTGGGGGGTTGTTGTGTCTGTAGGTGGTTGTGATGTGTTGTTGTTGTGTATGGGGGGTGTAGGGGGGTGGGGAGTTGGTGGTTGGAGGGGGGCGTGGGTCGTTTGGTGCTTTGGGTTGGGGTATTCGGTGGTTTCTGTGTGGTTGGGGGGTTGTGTGTGTTTGGTGATGTTGGTGTTTGGGGGGGATAGGTTGAGTGTTTGTTGGGAGGGTGTCTGGTTGGGGGGGGGTTGTGGGAGGAGAGGAGTTTGTGTTGGGTGTGATGGTGTGTGTTGTGTGTGCGGGTGTGGTGGTGGTTGTGGTGGTTGGGTTTTGTGTTGAGGGTTGGTGGTAGTGGGGGGGTTGGGAAGTGGTGGTGTTGTCTGGGTGTGAGTTTGGGTTGGTTGGTGGCGTTGCTGTGGTGATGTTTGGTTGGTGGGGGTGTGGGGTGTTTGTGGTGTGGTGTTGCTAGTAGATTGGGTGTTGGGGGTGGGTGTATTGTAGGTGTTTGGGGTTCGTGGGGTGTGTTAGTAGGTAGGTTGGGGGGGATTAGTGGTTTAGGTGGTGTGGGGAGGGTGCGTTTTGGTGGAGTTTGTTGGGGGTGGGGAGTTGGGGTCGGGGGGGGTGTGTTATGGGTGGGGTGTGGGTTGTGGGGGTTTGTTGTGGGTGATGTGGAGGTGTGTCAGATTTGGCTCGGTGAGGGTTGTTGGGACGGACTGGAGTGTGTCGGTGGGGTCGTGTATAGGGTGTTGGGTGGTGTCGTTGGTGGTGGGATGGTGGATGTGTTGGGTGTCTTGGGGGTTTGGTGCGTGAAGGGGGGTGGTTGGAGTGTTGGTAGGGGTGTGTGGTGGTGGGGTGTTTGGAGGGGTCAGTGTGGTTGTGTGGGTGTTGGTTGGGTGGGTGATGAGGCGGGAGGAGGGGTGGTGTGTGGTGTGCGCAGAAGTTGTTTGTTCGGATGGGGGTTGATGTGGTAGGGTGTTGGTGTGGTGGGTTGGGGTGTGGTTTTGGTGTTTGTGTGTTTGTTTGTTTGTGTGTATGGGGGCGTGAGGTGTGGGTGAAGGGGTTGTGGTGTGGGTTGTAGGTGTTGTGTCGGGGGGGGGTGGTGTTTGGTGTAGGTGTGTTTTGAGTGTCATGGTGTGTGGTGTGTGGGGGTGGTTGGTTTGTGGGTGTGTGTCGTGTTGTGGTGGTATGGAGTTGGGACTTTGTGTCTGTTGTGGTGCGTGGGTTGTTTCTGTGGTGTGGGGGGGGGGGTGTGTGGGGCGGTGGCGGGTGGTGAGGTCGTTTGGTGGGGGGGTGATTGTTGTGGGGTGGGGGTTCTGGTGTGTTTGCGGTGTTATGTGAGTTCTTGATGGGTGGGTGCGGGGGGGCGTGGGGTGGGGGTTGGCAGTGGTGCTGGTGGGTGGTGGGTGTGGTTGGTAGAGGCATGTAGTGTGATTCGTGGTGGTTTGGGGTGGCGGTGGAATGATGGTGGGTTGGGTTTTGGTGGTGTTGTTGTGGGGCTGTGGTTGGTGCTGGTGGGGGTGTTGTTTGAGAGGATGCTGGGTTGGTTGGAGTTTTGTGGAGGGTGAGAGTGTCTGATGTCCCCTGTTGTGGGGGGTGATTTTGTGGGTGGTTGGGTGGGTTGGTGAGGTTGTGGGTCGGTGTGGGTGGAGGGGGTTAGGGGTTGTGGTGGGTGTGGTGTTGGTAGCTGGTGGTGTTATTGTTGGATGTGGGTTTGGTGTGGTGTTGTGTGTTGTGGTGTGGGGTTTGGTGGACTGGTCGGGGTAGGGAAGCGTAGGCTGGTAGGGAGGTTGGGTTGTGGTGTGGTGGGTTGGGGTGTTCGGTAGTTGTGTGCGGTGGTACGGGGTGGAGTAGGGGTGTGGTTAGTGTGGGTGGGTTGGTGGGTATGTTGGGCGTGGTGGTTGGGTGGGTGGGTGTTGGTAGTTGGTTGGGTGTGGTGTTTAAGTGTGTTAGTTGGTTGGTGGAGTGGGGTGGTTGTGTGTGTGGTGTGGTTGGGTGTGGTAGGTGTGTGTGGTTAGGGGGGGGGCTGTGGTTTTTGGGTGGGAGGAGTGTGGAAGGGGAGTGGAGTAGGATTAGTGGGGTTTGTGGTTGGGGGGGGGTAGAGGGTGTTGGTGGTGTGTGGTTGTAGGGATGGGTATTGAGTCGTCGGTTGTGGATTGGTGGTGGTGGTGTTGGGCGTGCTGAGTGCTCTTAGTGGGGTGTGTTGGTGTTTGGGTGGATTGCGTGGGTTTGTGTATGGGTGTGCGTTGGTTCGGGGGAGGTGTGAGCGGGTTGTTGTGGTTGTGGTGTTGTTGGTGTGTGAGGTGTGGAGGGGAGGGTGTGTGTGGTTGAGAAGGGTGGTGGGTTTGGGCAGTGTAGTTTGGTGGTGTAGGGATGCTGGGTGGGGTGTGTGGGGGTGGGTTGTGTGGTTCGTTGGGTTGTGGTCTTGTGGGTGTGTTGTGGTGGTGTTGTTGGTGGTTTGGGTGTGTTGTTGGGTGGGTTGTGGTGCGTGTAAGGGTTGGTAGGGGGTTGTGTGTGATGGAGTGTTGAGGGGGGTGATGAGAGTGGGTGTAGTTTGGTGGTGGGTAGTGCATAGTGTTGGGTGTGGGGGGGTGTGGGGGGTGTGTTGGGGGAGTACAGTGGTGTGTTCGGGGGTGATGGTAATTGGGGGAGGTATGGTTGTGGTTGGTGTGGTATGGGCGTATTGAGTGTATGGGTGGGGTGGTAGTGTGGGGGTGTGGGTGGGTTTGGGTGTTGTGTGTGGATTGGTGTAGATGGGGGTGTGAGGATGGGGGGTGTATAAGCTAGGGCTGGTGTGGTGCTGGTGGGTGTTTGGGTGAGGTAGGGCGTGTTGATGCGGTGGGGAGGTCTGGGGATGGGTGGAGTAATTGGGAGGTGAGTGGTCTTGGTGGGTATAATAAAGGTGGGGTGGGTTTGTATGAGTAGGGTCGTGTTGGTGTGGGTGTATGGGGGGGTGTTGTGAGGGTGGATTGGGTGGCGTGGTGGTGTCATGTTGAGTGGTGGGCGGTGGGTGGGTTATTGTTGCTGTTGGTTTTGTGTTTTGTTGTTTTCGTGTGGTATGTGGTTTTGGGTTGTTGTTGGGGGTGTGTTGGTGAAGTGTGTGTTTTGGTGGGTGGTGGAGGTATGTGGGTGTGAGTGGTTGGAGTGGGGGTGTGTTTTGGGCGTGTAGGGTGCAGAGAGGGTGGTTGGGTGTGTGTTGATTAGTAGGTGCTGTGGAGACGGAAGAGAGAGAGGCGATAGTGGTGGTAGGTATGGGGGGGGGGTCTGTGCGGTTTGTGGTGTGTGGGTGTGTTGGTGTGGGGGGGGGGTTGGTTTGGGGGGTGTCGGGGCGTGGGGGGGGGGGAGTTGTGTGGTTGTGTTGCCTTTCGGTCGGGAGGTGGTGGTTTGTTGGTGTCTGGGGGGTAGAGATGGTGGGACGGGGGGGGAGTGTGTCGGAGGGTTCTGTGAGCGGGGGGGTTGTGTGTGTCGTGTGTGGTGGGGGTACGGGTGTGTGTTGTTTTTGGTGGTGGTTGTACGGTTGGTTTCGGTGACTGTAAGTGTGGTGTTGTAGTTGGAGGGTGGTGGTATGGGGGTGTGGTGTGCGGCAGGTAGTGGGTGGGATGGTGTTTGGGTGGTGGGGGGATGATGAGTGTTTGGGTTGTTCAGGGTGGGTGGTACCGTGTTTGTGTGGAGTGCGTTTCGGGGTGGTGTGAGAGTTTTGTGGGATGTGTGGTCGTTTTGGTAGTGTGGGGGTTTTGTGTGGGGGGGCAGGTGTTTGTGTTGGGTGGCGATGTGTGTGGTGTTGTTGTGTGTGTGTGAGTGGATGCCTGGGGCGTTTGCTGGTGTGGGGGGTGGGGTGTGTTTGGGATGGGTTGTTGGTGTGTATGTCGTGTTGTTGTTTTGGTAATAGTGTGGGGCGTGTGGGTGAGGTGTGTGTTGAGGAGGTGGGTGGTGTTTGGTGGGTTGGTGGGTGTTTGGGATGGGTGGCGGGGGTGTGGTGAGGTGGTGGTGGAAGGTGGGTAGGGTGATGTGGTTGAGTGTTGTGTGTTGTGTTGTAGTAGATTTGGGGGGCGTGGTGGAGGTTTGGCGGGTTGTTTGGAGTGTGGGGGTGGTGTGGTGTGATGTGTGGGGGGTGTGATAGGTGTTGGTTAGGGGGGGGGGGGGGGGGTAAGCCGGTGGGTGTTGATGTGTGTCTGTGGGGTTGTGTACTGGTGTTTTGAGGTGGTGTGTGAATGTTGGATGGGGTGTGGGCAAGTAGTGGTGGGATGTGTTGTTGTAGTGTTTGGTGGGGGGCAGTGCCGGTGTTGTTGGTGTGTGTAGGGTGGTTGTGGCGGTCGCTTGTGGGGGTATGTGGGTGGGGAGTTAGCGGTGGGTGAGGGGTGTGGTAAGGACGTGGAGTGGTGGTCGTGCTGTGGTGGGTGGGCGTCTGTCGGGGGGGGAGGTAGTTCGTGTGAGTGGGTGTTGTGTTGTGGGGTTGGTGGGGGAGTCGAAGTGGTGGCGTTGGTTTGGAACTGTGTGGTTTGTGGGTGGTTTGGGTAGGGTAATAGGGTGACGTGTCAGTGGGAGTGGTTGTTGGGTGTGTGTTTTGGGTGAGTGCTGTGGGGGTAGTGTGGGTTGCGGTGTGGGGTAGGTGTGTTTTGGGGGGGTGTGGGTTTGGTGTCGGGGGTATGGTAGGGGTGGAGTGGTGTGGTGGGGGGGGGAGGTTGTGTTGGGGGGGGCGTGGGTGGTTGGGGTGGATGGTGTTGGGGGTAGTGTGGTTGGTGGTTCGTCTGGTGGAGAGGTTGGTGTTGTGGGTGAAGGAGGGGGTGCTGTGATTGTGGTTGGAGTTCGGTGTGTTGGTGTGTGGTGGCTTGGCGGTGGTGTGGTGTGTAGGGTGGTGGTGTGTTGATGCGGGGTGTTGGTGTGGGTTGGGTGGGGGTTGTGTGATGGTCGTATGGTAGCAGGGGGTGGGAGGGTGGGGTTTTGTGATCTGTAGTTGGGGGTGGTGTGTGGTGTGTAGTTGGTTGGGGTGTGTCCTGGCGGGTGTGGTGTGTTGGTGGTGTGTGGGTGGGGTGTGTGTTGTTGGGTGGGGATGGGGTTTTGGGCGTTGGTGTGGTTGGGTTGGGGTGTGGTTTTTGTTGGTGGGGTGTGGAGGAGCTTGGGTTGTGTGTCGATGGTCGTTGTGTGCGTTTGGTGAGGTATCGTGAGGGTGGTTTGTGTGGTGTAGTGTGGTGTGGTGGGAACTGTGTCGGTGGTCTGGTTTGCGGGGGGAGGTTGGAGTTTGACTTGGGTTAGTCTTCGTGTGTTCGATGGGTTGGAGTTGGTAGGTGTGGTGGTGTTGGAACGTGTGTTGGTGTGTGTGTGGGTTGCATCTGTGAGGTTGGGTTGTGTGTGTGGGGGGTTTTGGTGTCTGAAAATGATTCGGGGTTTTAGGGTGTTGTTGCCTGGTGCGGAGGGTTAGGGGTGGTGCGGGGGTTCGGGGTGGGGGAGGGGGGGTGTGTGGTGGTAGATGTATGAGTTAGGGTGGATGGTGTTAGTATGGTGTATTTCTTTGGGTTTGTGTGGTGTGTGGAGTGGTTGGGGTAGGTGCGGGGGTGGTACGGTGGGGTGTGTGGTGGGTGTGGTAGGGTTGTCGTATGGAACGTGGTGTTTGGTTGGTTGGGTGTGTAAGTTGGGTGTATTGGTGGTTGGTGTGGATGTGTTGGGTGTGGTGATTGGGTGTGTTTACGGTCGGTGTTTTGGGTTTGAGGTTTGATGGGGTGGCTGTTGTGTGTAGGGGTTGGGTTAGTTTTTAGTGTCAGGCTGATGGGAGGGTGGGGTTGTCGGGTGGTTGTGGTGTGTGGTGGGGGCGGGTTGCGGTTGTGTGGTGGGTGTGGGGGGTGTCGGTATCTCGGTGTTAGGTGAGTGGGTTGTACGGTAGTTGGGTTGTTGTGTGGGTGGTTGGTATGGGGTCGTGGGTGGTGGGATTAGTTGGTGGGAGTTGTGTGGGGTTCCTGGTGGTGGTGTTGTGTTGGGTTTCGGGGGATGTGGAATTGGGTGTGTTGGGGGGTTTGTGGTGTGTTGTTGTGGGTGGGTGGTACGGTATTGTAGAGGGGTGTTGTGTAGTGGTGTGGCTGGTGGGATTGGTGGGGTGTGGGTGGAGGTGTTGGGGTTGGGTGGTTTTGGGGTGTGTGTGTTCGTTTGTTTCTGTCGTTGTGGTAGTGTAGGTTTGGGGTTGGGGAGTGGTTGGGGGTGCATGTGGGTGGGTGTGGTGTGTGTGGGTGTGTGATTGGGGTGGTTTGTGTTTTTGTGGGTGTGTTGGGGTTGGTTGGTGAGGTGGTGGGTTCGTGAGTGTGGGGGCTGGGGGTTGTGGTATGTGGTGGTTGTGGGATTTGTATGTGCGAGGTCGGAGGGTGGTGTGTGTGGGAGGTCGGGGTGTGTCGGTTGTGGTGGTTGTTGTGGGTGGGGGTGTGGGTCGTGGTGATGGTGGGGTGTTTTGTGGTGGTGTGGTGGGGGTGGGGTGGGTGTGGGGGAGGGTTTGTTGTTGTGTGAGTGTGTTGGGGGTGGGGTGGTGGAGGGGTGTGGGGCTTGTTGATTGGTTGTCGGAGGTGTGGGACGGGTGTGCGTGGTGAGGGGGCGGGGTGTTGGTGGTGGGGTGGGTGGTTGGTAGGGAGAGTGGGTTGTGTGTTCGTGTGGGTTGGTGAGTGAGTTCTGGGGTGTAGTTTGGTAGTGGTGGGGGTGTGGGTTGGCTGGGGTTCGGTGTTCTTGGTTGTGTGGTGTGCCGTGGGGTGGTTAGGGGGGGTTAAGGCGTTTGTGTTGTGGTTTGTTAGTATGGTGGGTGATGTGTGTTGGGTGGGTCGATTGGGGGGGTGTTAGTTGGTTGTTTGGATGAAGAGTGAGTTGTTTGTGTGTTTGGGAGGTTTGTGAGGGTAGTTGGTTTAGGCTGTGTATTGTTGGTATGGGGTGCGGGTGTTGTTGTTGGTGTGTGTTGTGTGATGGTGGTGTGGTGGGGGGGTGGATTGTTAGTTGGGGGTTGGCGTGGGTGTGTGTGCTGAGAGTGGTTTGATGGAAGGCGGGTGTGGGTGTTGGGTAGTGTTGGGGAGTAGGTGTTGTGGTTTGTGTGTGGTTGTCCCTTGTGGTGTTGGAGGTGTGGTATTGGCGACTTAGGGGTGTATGGTTGGTGGGATGGGGACGGTGGTTGTGGTTGTGTGGGGTTGTGGTGGTGATGAGGGCGTGTGTGGTGGTTATGTGTGGTGTTTGGAGTGGGTAGGTTGTGTAGAGTTGTTGGGGTTGGTTGGTGTTTGTGTTGGGTAGGGGTTGGGTTTGTTAGTTTGGTTGGTGCTTGAGGTTTTTGGTAAAGTGCGGGTGTGGGTTGGTGTGTGTGTGGGTGTGGGTGGGATAAGTTGTCGGTGGGGTAGTGGTATGGGATGTTTGATGTGTTTGTTGTTTTATTTGTGGATGGTGGGGCTCGTGGGGTTGTGAGGGTTGGTTGTGTGATGGAAGGGGTGGTGGTGGGGTATGGAGAGGTGGCGTGTGTAGTGTGTGGGTCGGATTGCGGATTGGTTGTGGGTTTGGTGGGTGGGGGGGGGGGGGTGTGGTGTGGTTTTGAGGGGTTGGAATGTGTAGGTGGGTTTGAGTGGTTGTTGTGTGGTCCTGGGGTGGATTTCTGTGGGAGGGAAGTTGTTTATGTTGTGCTGTGTTAGGGTGGAGAGTGTGTGGTGTGGGTCTGGTCGGTTTTGGTGTAGTAAGGGGTGTGTGGTTTCGGTGGTGGGGTAACTTTGACGTGGGGTCGTGGGGTGGTGCGGGGTGGTGGTGGTTAAGGTAAGGTTTGGGTCGTGGTGGGTGGTGGGTTTGGATGGGTGTGGCGGGAGGTTTAGTCTCGTGTCGTGTTGTTTCGGTGTGTGGTCGGGATGTTTAGTGGGTTGGAGTGGTTTGGATGGTGTTGGTTGGTTGGGTTGGGGTTAGTTTGGGGTGTGTTGGTTGGTTGTTGGGTGAGTGGTTGTGGTGGGATGGGTGGTGGTTTGCTGTGGTGGGTGTGCTGGGTGTTTGGGTGTGGGTTGTGTGGTGGTGGTTGAGTGTATGGGTGGTGTGAGTGGGTTTATTTTGGGGTTTGGGGTTGTTGTTGCGTGTTGTTGAGGGGTGGTTGGGTGTTCAGGGGTGCTGTTGGTTGGGGGGGTGGTGGGGGTTTTGGGGTTGGTGGGTTGTGTGATGGAGGTTAACTTTTGTGTTGGGGTGGTGGGGTTTGTGGGGTGTGGTTTTGGTTGTGTTGGTTTTCGTGTGGTAGGGTGATTGTGGTTGGGTTTGGAGGGTGTGGGTGGGTGTGATTTTGCGGGTGTGGGTGTGGTTGGGGGGGGGGTGGGGTGTGTTGTGAGTGGGTGTGTTGTTGGTGTGTAGTTATGTGTTGTTTGGTGGGTTGGTGTGGGGTGGTGGGTGGGTCGGGTTAATGAGATGTGGGCGGTGGTTGGTTGATGGGGGGGAGGAGCGGTGGTTTGTGGGGTTGGTAGAGTTAGTTTGGGGAGGCGGTGTTCGTGAGCTTGGTGATGTGTGTGGGGCTGTGTAGGTGGGTTATTGTTCATGTTGGGGGGTGAGTGGTTGGTCAAGTTATGTGGGGTTTGTTTGGGTTGTTGGTGCTGGGGTGATGGGGCGTTATTTTAGTATTGGGTGTGGTGTGGGTGGTGGGTGTGGTTGTTAGTTGGTGGGTGTTGTGTTTCTGTTGTGTGGTGGTTTTTTGTGGGTGTGGTTGTTTGGGTTCGGTTAATGTGTGTGGCGGGGGTGGGTCGGTGGGGGTTGTTGTTGGGGTAGGGGGTGGGGGGGTGAGTGTTGGCGGGTGAAGCAAGGTGGTGTGAGTCGGGGGTATGTTTAGATAGGTGGGTGTGAGTGGTTTGTGAGTCGTGGGGTTGTGGTGGTGTGGAGTAGGTGTGTGTGGTGTGATAAGGGAGATATTGTGGGGTTGGTTGGGGGTGGAAGGGGTGTGGTGTGGAGGGTGATAGACTGGTTTGTGGTTGGTATGTGTGGTTGTGGTGAGTAGTGGGGTTGGTGGGGTGGTGTGTGGATGTGAGTAGTGAGGTGATGATTTGGTTGTTTTGTGTTTTAGGGCGGACTTGGTGTGAGGGGCAGGCTTTTTGTGGTGGTGTGGTGTGGGTGTGTTGACTGGTGTGTTCGTTTCTCTAGGGCTGGTGGTTGATGGTGGAGGTTTGGGTTTGAGTGGGGTAGGTGTGTCTGGTGTGGGTGCTAGGTCCCGCTGGGGGGTTGTGCGTTCGATTTTGGGGGATTGGATGGCGTGGTTGTTTGTGTTTCGTGTGGAGTGTTGGTGGGGGGTAGGTAGGATGGGGGGTGGTGAGTTGTGGTGGTGGCCGGGGTGTAGTGAGGTTGGCGGGGTTTGAGTTGTCGTATTGTTGTGGTGCGGTTGTGGCTGGTGTGTTGTTGGGATGTGCGTGGTTGAGTTTGGATGTGGCGGGTTGGGTTCGGTTGGTGGGTGGTTTGTGGTGTGGGGTATGGGTGACTCGGTTCGTAGGGTGGTGGTGTGGTTGTGGTGCTGGTGTCTTGGTTTGTTGGGTCCGGCAGGGAATTTGGGTTGTGTGGAGGTGGGTGTGTGTGAGTTGATTTTGGTGGGTGTGGTGTTGTTGGGTGTTGAGTGTGTTGGTTTTGGTGGTTTAGGGGGGGTTTGGTGAGGGAGTGGTTGGTGTGCTGGGGTTCGTGAGTTGCGTGTTGGCTTACGTGGTTGGGATTGGTGTCGGTTTTGTGGGTGTGATGGGGGGAGGGGTGGGTGCCGGTGGTTGGGTGGGGTTGTTTGGTATGAGGGGGGTCTGTGGGGTGTGGGTGGTGGTTCAGTAGTGTTAGTGAAGGGTGAGTTCGCGGTTGGTGAGGTGTTGAGTGGTAGATTAGGGGTGTGTTTGTTGTGGTGTAGTGGGAGTGTGTGGGTGTGGTGGGTGGGTGGTGTGGTGGAAGTGTGCCCTTTTATTTTTTTTTTATAGTATTTTATTTATTCTTTTTTAATTTTTTATTTTTATTTCTATTGATGTTTTTTTTATTATTATTTATTTTATTTATTTATTTTTATTTTATGTTATATTTATCTTTGTTTGGTATTTTTATTATTTATGTATTTTAGATATAGTTTTGTGTTTAATAATGTATAGTTAATTATTTTTTTTAATATATATTTATTTTTTTTTAAAATATTTTGTATTTTGTATTATTATTTTTATTTTTTGTGATAGCATTACAGATAATTTAACTTTTATGTCGTATTATTTTTTTTGATTTATCTTTGTATTTTTTTTTTTTTATTTTCTTTATATTTTATTTTTTATATTTTTCTTTTTTTAATTTTTATTCATAATTTTTTATTAATTAATTTTTTTTTTGTTATATTATATATTTTATTTCTTTTATATATTATATTGTTATATGTGTGTATTTTAATATTTATTTATTGTTTTTTTATGTATTCTTTTATAATAATTCTTTCTTCTATTATGTTTTTTTTAGTTGTTTTTTTTATTTTTTTTTTATTTGGAAGATTTTTTATTTTAGTATAATATATTTATTTTTTATTTATTTTTTATTTATTTTTTTGGTTTTTTGCATATATATATGATGTGTTTAGTTTATTTTTTATATATTTTATTTTATTTGTCTTTATATTATTTTCTTTTTATATTTGTGATTTTTCTATTTATTTTTATTTATTTTTTGTAGTTATTTTAATTCTTTTTTTATATTGATTATTTTTTATTTTTTATTTTTGATTTATATTTTGTATTATTATTATTATCATTTTGCGATTATTTTTTTGTTATTATATTAGTTGTTATTTTATTAATTTATGTTATTATATAATTATATTATTTAATTTTTATTATTTATTTTATTTTTTGTTATTTTTTTATTTTTTTTAATATATTATTTTATGTTTTTAGTTTTCTTATTTCTAATTTTTTAAGTTTGTTTTATTTAATTAATATATTTTTATTTATTATATTATAATTTTTTTTTTATTTTTGTTATTATTATTTTAACTTTATTGTTATTTTATTTTTTTTATTTGTTTTATAAAGATTTATTTTATTTTATTTTTTATATTATTTAATTTTTTATAATATTTTATAATTTTATTTTTTTTAAAAGTTTTTTTATTATTTTAATATTTATTTTTTTTATATTTATTTTTTATATGTTTTTTTTTAATGTTTTTTTTTTATTATTTATTTCTTATATTAATTTTTATTTTTTTGTTTATTTTTATTTATGTGTAATATTTATATGATATTATTTTTATTTATTATTTTTTTTTTATTTTATTTTATTTTATTTTTTTTTGTTTTCTTATTATTATTTATGATTCTGGTTAATATATTTTTTGTAATTGTTTTTATTATTTCTTTTTATTACTTTTAATTGTTTATTTTTTTTGTTTTTTTTTTTTTTTCATCATTTTTTTGTATTGTTATTTTTATTTTTTTTTATATGTTATTTTTTTATTTTTTAAAATTTTAATTTATTTTATTATATTTCTGTAAGTATGTTTTTATTGTTTAAATTTTATTTTTTTCGTTATTATTTGATTTGTTTGTATTTATTTTTTCTTTTTCTTTTTTTAATTTTTTGTTTTTTTAGTTTATACTTGTTTTATGAATGTTTGTTTTTTTTTATTTAAATTGTATTCCCCCCCCAAATGATATCAGATTTCCCTTTTTTTATATGATTTTTATATTTGGTTTATTTTTTGTTTATTTTTATTTTTTTATTATTATGATTCTTTTTATTTATGTACTTTTTTAATATTGTGTTGTTGTATTATTTTTATTTATTATTATTATATTTATTATTTATGGTTTAGTTTATTTTTTTTTTCTTGAATTTTTATATTTCTTGATTTTTTATATTTTATTTTTATTTTTTTTTATTGTATTTTTTATTATTATGTTTGTATTTTTTTGATTTAATTTTATAGTTTGTCTATGTCTTTTCTTTATTTTTATTTTTTATTTTTTTTGTTTTATTTCTCTTGATTAACGTGTATTGTTTATTTTTATTTTTATTTGTTTGGTCTTTTGGTTTGTTTAATATTGTTTTTGTTCTTTTTTGAGTTTTTTTTGGTTCTGTTTTGTTTTATGTTTGATTGTAGGGTTTTTATTTTTTTGATTTTTGATTAAGTTGTTTTGCTTTGTTTGTTTTGGTAGTAGTTTGGTATTTTTGTGTGGGTAGGATTATTTTTAATATTTATTTTTGAATTTAATTATTTAAATATAATTTTTTATAATTATTAATAATATTTTCTATATTTTATATTATCTAAATTATTTTTTTTTATTTTTATATTTTATTTTTATTAAAATAAATATAATATTTTTCTAAAATTTACAATTTATTTTTTTATTATTATATTTCTTATTAATTTATTTATTATAAAAACAGATTTATTTCCCCCCAACCACCCCCCCCCCTTTATTTATTATTTTCTTATAATTAATATATAAATATTTTTATAATTATATATTTAATTTATTTAATATTATTTTTTATTTTACAATTAATTTTTTTATATTTTATATAATATTTTATATAATTATACCTATATATATTTTAATTTTTTAAATTATTCTAAATAAATATATATAAATTTATATTATATAATTAATTAAATTTCATTAAATTTTTAAATATATTATATCTTATATATTAATTTAATCTTTAAATATTCTATCATTTATTTTAAATCTTTATTTATCATATTTATATTTTTTTCACTAGTTTAATATTTATATTTTTTTTTATATAATTTTATATATCATTTTTTACATCTTATATAATACCCATTAATGATTATATAATATATATTGATTAATTACATTATTATAAATTTTATTTTATATTTATATATAATTTAAAATTAATTTTTTTTTTATTATTATTATACTTAATATTAGTTTAACTTTATTTTTATTTTTTAATATATTTATTTAAATTTAATATTTTCTGTATGAATTTTTTAAATTAATTTTAATTATATTATTTTTTTTATTTTTTTATTTTTTATTTATTTATTACTTAAATTTTTTATATTCATTTATTAATATTATTATAATTAATATTTTATTATTACATTTTATTTTTATATATTTTAATAATTTTTATATTCATTATTATTTTTTATAATTTTTATATAAATATTTTTTTTATTATATAAATATAATATAATATTAAATTTTTTTTAATTATATTTTAATAATTTATAATTTATATTATAATATTTATATATATTTTATTATTTTTATTTTATTTTTTATTTTCTAATTTAATATTCCATTTTTTTTATTAAATATACTATTTTACTCTTTTATTATTTATTATTATAATTATTCTATTATTCTTATTCATTATTGTATATATATTTTTATTCTATATATTTTATTAATTACTATTTAATTATAATTATTTTATTAATTTTTATGTATTACTCTAATTTTATATTTATTTTTTTTATTTATATTAATATACATTTTTTTATTTTATAATATTAGTATATATTTAATATTTTAAAATATATTTTTAATTATTATTTATTCCTTTTTAATATTTTATTTTTTAATTATTAAATATTACAATTGTTTTTTTTTATTGTTATTAATCATGTCTTATACACCAAATATTTATTTTTTTCAATTATGTAACATTAAATTTATATCTTTATATTATTATTATAATTATTATTATTTTATTATTTTTTTATTTGTTATTCTTAATTTTAATTATTCTTCTTCTATTATTTTTTTTATATTATATTTTTTAATTATTTTTATTTAATATATATATTATATATTACAATTATAAATTATAATATTTTTTATATATAATAATAATATTATTTTTAATTTTTTTTATTATTATTATTATAATTAATTACTATATTATTTATTAAATAATTTATTTAAATTTTATTTTATATAGTTTTATCTAATAATTTTTTTTATTATTATTTTTTTTAATATTATATTTTAATATTATTATTATTAAATTAGATATATTTATATATTAAAACTATTATTATTATATCTTTTTTTTTATTTCAATTTTATTTATAATTTTTTTTTATTAATTAAATTTTATAACATATTATATATATCATTATATTATATATTAAAATATTATACTAATTTTTAATAATATTTAATTTTACTAATTTTTTTTAAAATATATTAATCATATTTATTTTATTTTTATAATAAATCTTAAATTATTTATATTTATAATATTAATCTTATAATTTATATAATCTATACAAAAACTCCATCACATAAAAATATAATAAAAATAACAAAAACAAACAAAAACACAAATTCCTCAAAACACATAAAAAAAAAACACCCAAAAATAAGATAAATTACTACTTTAATTCCAAACCCACAACCAACCACATCCCCTCTCCTAGCTCGCGCATACCCACTAACACCCCCCCTTATCACAACACTCACCCCACCCCCCCACCCCCACCCAAACACTCATAATATTCCTCTCTACATCACACTCTCAGTATATCCACAAAACTAACCCCCCCCCACCCATAACACATAGCCCCATATAATCACCAACACAAATATTACTCACTCACATCCCCTACTACACCCAACCCTTCATTTATTCATATTTATTCCCACCCCCCCTGACTTCGCATATAGATTGTTTTATAATATATATTTTTATTTTTATATTTTATTTGTTTCATTATATTTAATAATTTTTATATTTTTTGTTATTTTATTTTATTTACAAGCGCTCGCGCGTTTTAATGACTTTATTTATTTATTATATTATTTTATATAAATATTTTA